CTGTTTAGTTACTGGGTCTCATTCTGTCGCAAGCTTTGAGCAAGCTGAAGTACCCATTGGGTATGTCTACACATGGATTAGATCCGGGAGCATTTTATTTGCAAGTAAATGCTCCCTGGCAGGCATCTGTACGTGCAGAGAAACAGGAGCAAATTTGCTGTTAATGGCAGCAAACTGCTCCCACTTCCTGGGGCCCTGCAATGGGACCCTACTGTCACCAGTGGGAGCTCTAGGCTCCCCCTGGGTGCTAGCCTAGGGGCTGGCAGGGAACATTGGGCCAGGAGACAGCTGTTTCCTTGCTGGGGCTGGGACATTGCACCCTGCCTCTGGGGGGGCTGCCTGCTGCCAGGGGCCAGAGACAAGGTCCCCCTACTCTGGCAGCAAGAGCTCCTAGCCCTGGCTCACCAATCAGGGTCAGGAGACTTGGAAAGAGCTGCAGGGGAGTGCAGGTCCCAGGCCCCAGGCCCTGCCCTGATATGCTGGTAGGGAAGCTAGCTCACTGCTAGCTGTCCCACCATTGGATCGGGGCAAGGGGCCGGGACCTACCCCACCCCTGCAGCTCTTTCCAAGCTTCGTGACTTGATCACCTGATAGGGGCATGGGGCTGGGACCTGCCCCTGACTGGGACAGTTCCCAGCCTCTACTCAGTGACCACAGGGAAGAGGCTGGGGAGCTTGTTCCCTGCTCAGCTCCATGAGCACAGAGCTGGGTGGGGAGCAGGCTCCCCAGCCCTCCCAGCAGGAGGTGCCCAATGGCATTTCTGCGACTGTGGAGCTTGGGCTGGGAGATCCGTATCTCCCAACCTGAGCTCTGCTGTCAGAGCTGGTGCTGGGAGATAAGGATCTCCCAGCCTCCCACTGCCTGATCAAGATGGTACAACAGGGGCTGGGAAATAAAGATCTCCCAGGCCCCACTTGAACATCGTGATCTCAGAGCAGGGGGCTTGGAGTTCCCTGCTGCTAGGGCAGGGGGATATAGTCCCCTCCTGGGCTCTGGTGGCAGAGCCTGCCCCAGCAGCAGGCAGCTCCCAGAGCAGGGACCAATCTCCTGCCCCCTGGTGGTCAGCTGACTGGGTCAGTTTTGATCCCAGTCAGGTGTCTACATGAACACTGTTACACAGTTAGTTATTGCAAGTAAATTTGCTACTTGCATTTTCAGGTAGCAAATATATTCATGATTAACGAGGTTTAGTGCATAGTAAGCATGTGTACATGTAGACACATGTGCTTACTGCACAGTAAACTACACTACTGCTCAGTAAAGCATCTTGTATAGACACACTCGTTCTAAACTAGTCTGTGAGCCTTATTACTTGAAATTCTGTCTTCCAGGTTATTGTTTTCTTGTTTCTGCTCTCTCTCAGTTCTAAGTATTGACAAGGTTTTTTCTGCAACTGTGAAGAAGAAAGAACTGCCTATAACAACGTATAGTCATGAGTGTTTGTGGCACATTTGAGGTAGCAGTGAGAACAACAGTGCTCACTTCTGTCAACTCCTAAACATTCTTTGTCTTTTCTTATTTTATTTTAGTTTTATATTTTTTTATTTTACTCAGTTCTTGCTAATTTTTTTCCTATTTTGACAATACTTTTTTTTTCTGTAGTTTGGGCAGTGGTGTAACAAGGGGGAGCATGTTTTAGGGGCAAACCACCCCAGGGGGTGACTTGGTTGGGGGAGAGTGAGCATGAAAAAAGGCAACTGCTGCTGACAGCTGCATGGTCATGATTTTGAACTGGAAGTCACTGCTTCTGCTTTTCCCCGGGCACCTGGCTGCATCCCTACGCCACCGAGCTGGGAAGATGTTAGTTGTCTCATCTCAATATAAAACTTGTTGAAGCTCAATTTCTGCAAGTTTCTTCTATCTTTGGCATTGTCACTGACTGAGAGACCTTGTTCTGAAACTATTAGACAGGGGTCTATCGAATCCCACTGACTCCATGGCTCTGCTGGCCTATGGGGATAATGTCCAGAAATCTTGTTGGTTAACATGTCTGCAGTACAACCCAGTATTACAAGTGCTCAGCGTGTTTTATGTTGGAATTATATTCACAAAGCAGTTGCGGGGAGGTGTTTGATTAGCTTTAAAAGACAGGTCTATCCTGTGTAACTAATTTGCTTGACAGTATGCAAACTGAATTATGAAAACGTTGTGTTGAAACAATGCCTAGACAGTGTACAGCAGTGCTTCTCAAAGTGGTGGTCTGCGGACTGGTGCTGGTCCGCGAGTCACCGGTCGCCGGTCCGCAGCGAGTTGCCAGGAAAGAAAGAAATATATTTTCAGAAGCATAACATTGATATGTCATAGCGCCACAGTTCATACGTTCCAACACTCCAGGTGACGTCATGTCATGCGAGGTGAGGAAAGAGAAAGAAACAGCTGGTTGCGCATTTGTGTAGCGCTGTTACACGCAGTTGCTGCCACCAGCTGAACCGGGCACCGGTCCCTGGAAAAAAAATTGCTGGTCTGCCATATCAGATAGTTTGAGAAGCACTGGTGTACAGTGTTATACAGGTGTACAGAGCTCCTTTGAGAATTAGGTGTCATAACTCAGACTTTTCTTTACTTGGAGTCTGTAGTCATTACATACTGGAATAATTTTGTCTCTTCTGTTCTAAAAACGTAAGGCTAGAGCTGTTCAGCACTTTCATTTGTGATGAATGATATTGAACTGAACTGAACTGAACTGACACTAGGCTTCAGTAATTTTAAAATAATTTATAACAGACTTTCTAGAAAAGCTGTAAACTGTTTTCTTGTCACAAACTGCAAGTGGTATGGGAAGCATCTCCCAGATAAATTTAGGAGATATGCAAACAGAGGAGAAGACCTAGATAATTCATTACTATAGCTCTATCTCAGTCTTCTAATGTCCTTTCAGGAAAACTGGGTGTTATTAGCATAAATGTTTTCCGTTTCTTGAGCTCATGGGCAGCAAACATTACAAACTGCTGCATCAGAGCTGATCTGTGTTATACATACATACGCCCTTAGGAATTCTAAAGGTATAATGTTGTAATATCTATCTAGAAATTGTTGAGACCAGCCTCAAATACAGCATTGTCTCAAACTACCTTGACTTCTCTCAAGGGAAAGATGCTGTTTTTGCTATAAGTGCAAGGAAAATTAACTGGAGGTACAAAAAAGAAACAGTAGAAGGAGAGAAGGAGTGAATCAAGCATTCTGCCTGAAGAAGGCATTGCTACCATTGTGGTTTTGTAGAAGAGCAGTTTAATGTAAAACTAAATGATGAACTACAAACTTTCAAATCTCACCAAATACCCTAGCAAGTTATGAAGATTCTCTTTTGCTCAGGATTTTTAGGATATGTTTTTCTTCAGACCTTGTGGTTTTTATTTTGCCTGTTTAAACAAATGCTTTTCATACCCTTTTGTGTATCCCTGAACTTCCTTGTTAAATAAGCAAAGTTTATATCTGTATTTATGATGGTATAAACCAGTGGTGCTCAAACTTCCAGCCCTGCAGGCCAGATGGGTGGCATGGGACTGCTCCGAGGGCCAGATCCATGGGTGGAGTGGGTCCATGGGCCTGATCCACCATGGTGTCAGCTTTCTGAATCCAGCTGCAGCGTGATTCAGCAACAGCATCCAGCCCACAAGGCAACTCATGGGTCCAGAATAGTGGCAGTGTTAAGTGCTGTGGCTCTGGAACCTGTGGTAATTAACACTGCCACTGCCTCTTTACCACCACATTTTTATACAGAAGTGTTGCAGAGGAACAAATAGTGCTGCTTTTATATAATATTTTTTTCACCCTTTCCACGCTAGGCAACCTGGATATCTGGGCCATAACTGTGGAAGAGAGAGCTAAGCATGATCAGCAGTTCCATAGTCTGAAACCAACATCTGGATTTATCACTGGTAATCAGTTTTCACATTCAGGTTTTTTTAATTACATGTAACTCATAGTGAATATGTATACCTATGTGTATCGGAGATATACAGGCACAGGGGTCTCTCTCTGTCTCTAAAAAAGCAGATTTTATGCAAACTCACGTTCATCATTCTTGTATCACTCTACCAGAACACCTTCATCTCTTTGGGAATTTTACTTTAATCTTGATATTCCTTCTCTGTCAGAAAGGATCAGGTAAGTCAGAACTTGAGTGTGCAAGAGAAGAGGTGCACAGCTTTTGGCCCACAGGCCAGATGTGGCCTGCAGAGCCATAGATATTCAGCCTGCAGGACTCCCCATTAATTGGGAAATTGATGGCAGGGGAGCAGTGGCAATAAATACAGCCACCCTTCTTGATGCTAGATTCCCAAAACCCAAGCCCTGCACAGCAGGTTGGGGCCAGGTCATGCCCCTCCTTCATTCCCACAGCTGGATGAGGCTGGGCCATGCTCCCTTTCCCCTGTGGGGCCAGGTTGGGGTCAGCTCAAGCCCCCTTCTCCCCTTTGGGCAGGCTTGGGGCTAGGCCAAGGAACAGACCGGGGCCCTCCCCCCCATGTGGGGCTGGGCTCCCTTTCCCCACAGGGCTGGGCCATGCCCCTCTTCCCCCCTTGCCAGGCTGGGCTGTGCCCCCTCCTCCCCACACTGCCCCAAGTGTCCTAGGCTAGATTGGGACCACCAGCCAGATCCAGCCCGCAAATGGCCTGGGCACTGCCCATCCAGACCAGTGGTCAAAAAGATTGATCATCACTGTGCTAGAGTGATACCTTGATGTTGTTCATGATTTTTGATTGATCAGTGTTTCAATACCTCTGTCACAGTGGGTCATCAAAACAGACTAAATCGTTTAAATGTGAGATATACCAAATTATTTAAATCTGCTTAAGAAACAGTTTACTTAAACCAGCACATACATCTGTGTCTATGTCTTTTTATCTATTTCACAAATGACTTATGCCAGTTTCACTTGTGAGAACTAAGCCAGCAAGTGTATACTTAGGGGCTTGTTTTAAAACTAGTGCAGACTGCAGGTGCAGACCAAGCTTAATACAAGTGTGATACTTATTTTTTGGTTTACTTTGATTCTTTTCAACACTGCATGCATGTCACCTTTTCTCGATGAAGCTGCAGTAAAATTGCATGAATGCTTTCCTGCTTTTGTTCTTTTCCGGTTAGTAGCTCTCAGAATATCAGGTTAGACCCATGGTCCGAAGACCCTTATCAAGGTCCCTAAAGTCCTTGACCTTAGGGCCCGGATATTTTGCGGGGGGGGCACAAACTGATTATTGCAGTTGCTCTTATATGCTAGATGCTACAAAATCTGGCACGGTTCTTTTGTATAACTTAATTTTCATAACTTCATGATATTTAATACCATTTCTTTTAGTCTTTCTATTCCTTTCCTTCAGAAAACTACTAAATCTCTTTTTCTTCAGCTATCTAATCTCTATGGCACTACCTTACCTTTTTTATCCTTATATTTACAATGCCTATAGATTGAGGATAAGTGAACTGCCTTAATTTTTTCTTGCTTCTTCGTATCTAGTTAGTTTTTAAGTGATGAGTGAAGACCAGATTTACTCAGTTTGTACAGACTGATCTGTGTTGTATTTAAAGAACCTAAGAAAAATGGAAAGTTTTGTTTGTATTGATGGGAAATAGTTTTTCCCATAGAGGAAGTATGTACTTCCTTGGTTTCACAAGGCAGGGCATTCCAATAAATAAAAGAGCCATTAATGTGGAATAGGGAGCAGGAACCATGTGTTTCCTAGTGTTCTATCTCCATAGATGCTGTTTCAAAAATACTGTTAATGTCTAGTAGTTTTAAAATGGTAAAAACTGGTGCAAATTTAAATATGAAAAACGTGTGGGTATTGCCAAGAACTTGCTATTCTGCAGTATCTAAAATTCTCTATGTACGTTCTGCTTGTTGATGAACTGATAAACTGAATTTAAACTGTACAGGTAATATGCTCGCTATTACAATATCTGCTCCTTTATATGGTAGGTCTGTACTGAATAGTTTGATGTGTAGTTTCATTTTAAGCTCTTTCTTCTTGGTGTCCTTTTTGTAGTGATATTCTGATTATTTTCCAGGTGATCAAGCTAGAAACTTTTTTTTTCAATCTGGATTACCTCAACCGGTGTTAGCACAGATATGGTAAGTATCTGGCTGAAAAAATCTTGAATTATATTAAAGGGAATTGCTAATATATGTTGCATAGTAATGCAATTAATATATTGTCAATTAACATGCCAGTCAAACTTTGCTCTCTTCCTAAGTAAATGTCCTAAAAATCACCAAGGTAGCAGCACTTCGTATTCTGATTTTGCTTTGGGATTGTTTTTTAAGTTACCAAGACTGTTGGCAGGCCTTTTGCTGGAGGTGGTCATCTTGCTGGAATGTGATATTTGTAACAAGGTGGTTTAGGCCGCTGTATTTAAAAGACTACATAACTTTCCAACTTTCAGCCAATATTAAAGTAATGATAAAAATGAAAAAAAAATTAAGATGTTAGATTTATTTTTTGGGACTGTTAAGCCAAACATGAAAGTCCTGTCATGGAAATGTAGGATCCAAAATAAATACTCTTACTGTAATTAGCTGATAAAATGTTTGGAGGGAAACAATGATTTTACTGTTCCTTTGGCAAGCTGAGTGGATAGGTAGAAATCTGCAATGCTATATAAAGCTGCTTATAATCAATTTTGAAAGCTGGTAGCTATTTTCTTTGTGTAAGATTGTTAAAAATTACTATACTTCAGATTTTTGCTACTGCTTAACTCATAGAAATGCTGATTCTCATGAAAATCTTGAAGAAATTGTCATGTCTCACTGCTGAACTACATGACGAAGATGTGGTTTTCCTTTGTCCACTGCACTGGAATGGGAGAATAATTAACATGGTACCTGTGAGGGTTGAAAGTTAATGTTAATTACTAGAGAGAATGAAAATGGCGTATATGTCATGACCATGGTCCCTTTTTTGTACTAGGAGAAGTTTTCAGAGAAAGAGTAGCTTCCCATCTTGGAGGAAAGAGAGTTCCTTTGTAGCTTAGACACAACTGCTTTGGAAATGTACATGTCCTCTTGCTCCTTAATGACAAAGACAGCTTCGAGTAGTATAGGGTTCGTTTGCTTGCGTGCTTGTCTATTCAGTTTAAATCCTGTCTTATAGTTGGTGTTTTAGCATTGTGTTTTAATAACTAGCAGGATTTTTTTTTTGTATCTGATCATCTTTTATCTTACAGATATCAGGAAAATCAAATCTTGTCTTATTTTGCTAAAAGACTAGTTGAAAGCTTCAGATGTTCCCTTGGAACTTTTCTTACTTTTTAATTGGAAAGGAAGGAATGTTTCATTTTTCCTTTAAATGAGAGAGTCTCTCTCATAGAATGTTCCCTAGGCATTTATTTTAAATAGGTGCTAACAAAACTAAACAGTTGCAAATACTGTGACTAAAAATCTCTTCCCGTCTGAATTCAGCTTTTCAATCTCTTGAGTAGAATCATTCCACTGGTTCTGTAGTTGTCATAGAGACAAGACCTGAATTTGTACATTAAAAAAAAGCAGACACAAAACTCATTCAGGCTGCTATGTAAGTCATAATGTAGGAGGGGGATAAGGGTCCAAAAAGAGTGAATACAAAGCTGTTTCCCTTTTCAAGTTGCCTCTGAATTAAGAAAAAATGACATTTAGGTTAGAGTCCAGATTGTCTGCATTCCTTTCTCTTGGAATAAGAAAGACTGAATAGGAAGATAGGGCAAGACAGCCATTTAAAGAAAAACTTCCCTTTCCAGAACTCTAGTGATTTAATTTCTTCCATTTGAAGTGAAGTGAATGTCTGTGTTTAGAGCCGTGCATGTATTACTGCAATCCTAAAAAAAAAATAGCAGGTGTCAGGAAAGAACTCCCAGAGTGGCTTTTCCTATAGCAAATGGGAAACTTTCTTTATCAGCTGTTGAAACAGAATTGTAAAAAGTTAACAACTCTCAGTCAGGTCTTGAGCCTCTAATTTCAATGGCAAGAAGTCTCTTACATTGGCCTTCACAGGATGCCAGCTATAGTTCAGCATGGCTGGAAGTTGGTCAATATGAGTGTGTACACATGTCTAAGTCGGCTTAAAATAAGGTGACTTAACTAAGTCGACTTAAGCCACACTGTAGTGTACACATGTACAGCTCCTTGACATGGTGGCAGCCATCACCACGTACTTTAAGTCTTAGAGTTGACTTAACTAATGCAACTCAAGATAATATACCTCAGAGATGTATTATCTTGTACCGCATTTAAATGGACTCTGCTCCACTTACATATGTACATTCTGACAGTTAAGTTGACTTAAAAAGTTTCATAGTTTCTAGGGTTGGAAGGAACCTGAACAGATCATCAAGTCCACCCCCCTGCCCTGGGCAGGAATGAGTGCAGGGATCATAGTACACCAGTCAGATATCTATCCAATATCCTCTTGAAGACCCCCAAGGTAAGGGAGAGCACCACCTCCCTTGGGAGCCCATTCCAGAGCGTGGCAGCCCTAACCGTAAAGTAATGCCTCCTAATATCAAGACTGAACCTGCTATCAATCAATTTGTGGCTGTTATTCCTTGTTATCCCAGGTGGTGCCCCGGGGGAACAGAGCCTCACCTATTTTCCGCTGGTCTCCCCTGGTGAGCTTATAGACAGCCACCAGATCCCAGTTAAGTTGACTTAACTGTCAGAAAGTTAGTATGTGTGTACACACCCTATATGACCAAGTCCCCGATTTGCACTCCAGTTTATGGTGGATTAAACAGCAAATAGCAGAATTCTAAAGGTCTTCTGACTCCTCCAAACATTTATGTGCATTTGAATGGCTCCATTACTATTTTTACAGCTGTAGAAAGTCTGTCAGCTCAAGGAATTAGTTTGTAGAGTCAGATATGCAGACATATTTTCACGAGGCATTACAAGAGTGATTCAATACAATTAGCTGAGTTGGTGTTTATCCCAAGTGTCCACTGCACTGTTTTAGACTTACAGGCCAAGAGTTTCCTTTTTGGGGGATGAGTGCTGTTTACAACTCTTAGTTCTCCCCATTGATATATTCTTTATTGCCCTACCTGCATGGAATTTTCCTATGGGAATATTTAGTTTATTAAGACTGTTAAGAGTATGGTTTAGATTTTGTGTTGTTTTCTGTGAGAGAGCAATCTGTAGAGAGAAAAAAATAGATGAATTTTTAAGACTCCTGATTCCTGAAATAATTAAAGACATGCATATCTTTACTTTTCTAACTCTTTCTTTTATCTTCATTGAAGTTACTTGCCTACATAAAGTTTTGTTTCTGATTGTGCTTGTTGGATTGGGACCCAGCTCATTAACTTGTTACGTAAAGAATAACCCATGGCTTCAAGTAAAGCAGACAGTGTTATATCTATTTCTGTAGGTTCCTTTGTTAGTTGTGGAAACCCTTACCTGGGGAAGTACAGTTAGAAGACAAAATGGCAGAGGATTTTGGTCTTGCTGACTTATACCCTAAATAGTCTTCAAATCTTTTTGTAAAGAGAGCAACATGTTTTAGAATTGCTAAACACTTTCTTATAAGAGGGAAAGGCGGAGAGAGAATGTGGCTTGTTTTTATCTACTACAGTATTTCCAATTTGATTTAAGGTGCAAAATTACACTTTGCCGTTTTGAGTAATGCAGGATCTGTTTTCACTAAAATAAAGTGCCAAAAAATACTAGCTAGCTGAAATAATATTTTAAATATCTTTTTTCCCCAAAAGATCTTTTGAAAATATGCTGTAGTTGCAGTAATTTGTTTTTAAAGACAAGACTATATAAAGGCTATTTGATGTAATAGCAGTAATTCAATTCTTAACAAAGGCTTTTTAGAATTCACACCCATCTTGTAAACAGTATCTTTATAGATTTACTGTGACTTTTCTGCTCAGCATTCCTTTAAGAGAGAAAATGCTCTCTGAAGGCTGGGACTTTAATAGAACTGCCCTGGTCTATTGCAATAATACCTTTACTAACCTACTCTTTAGTGGCAGGACAGAGAACAAAACCTTTAATCTATTAAGAATAAGCTAAATAGGCTTTGACTGGAGGCTATAATAGCTGAAAGGGGTAATAACTATTTTAAGTAGGCTATAATCTGGTTTTCTTCTCATTCCCTCACAGGTAGTTCAAAGTTACTTCCTTCACTTTAATCTGAGCTAAGGGTGCACTGATAAAGACTTTTTGGGCCAATACCAATGGCCGATTATTAACGAGCCATATCAGCCAATACCAATACAATTGCCGATATGCAAGCCCGGCAGCTTGAAGAGCAGCATCCAACTGGTAAACCTGTTGGGGGGAAAGGGGTGGGGAGGAAAGGGGCATGCGGGGGGTGCAAGATTGAGGCCCCCGCGGTGAGGGAGGGAGTGGGGCTGGGGCAAGGGCAGGCACTGCCAGGCCAGGGTGGGGTGTGGGCTGGAGCTGCAAGTGGCTTATCT